TCCTTAAAAAGATACTAGAAGAGTAGACATGATACCAGTTGAATAAGTTAATTAATTTCACGACAGCATAATATATTGAGACGAAGCCTAATCATCTATTCCCTACTAGGTAGAGAACATGCAAACAACTTTATTCTTGTTCTTAAAGGGGTCGTCAATGGCCATATGGACTCAAACTCCCCAAAATCAATATGATCAAACCACATAGGAAGAAGGTCCGGAAAAGCCAGCTCCAATCCAACATATTCTATAGAAAGAGAACAGGAACATTATTTCTTTAGCTCTTTCATTCATCATCTTAGCATTGCAGTGGAACCAAAACTTGCATCTACTAGAGCTAACATAATTCAGAAAACCAAAAAGTGCCCAAAAATAATTCTTTTTCAAACAAGTGGCCCATAAGAAAAATTAATAAAGATCAGCATAAAAAGAGAGATATGTTCAGATTAAAAAAGAGAGAGAGAGAGAGAGAGAGAGAACAAGAAACAGAGAGATTTCATTTATTCTATCAGCGACAAAGAATTATGAGCAAAACATAGGCAGAAATTGAAAATCTTTTTATTTTGTTTCTTCTCTACGGGAGAGCTTTTAAGGAATCTGCACTATTCTTTTGGCATCTACAGGACATTTAAAATTGTTCGCACCTCTGCTATGCCTTTCTGATAGATATAAAATTGTTTGTGTCTCTTGAATCTGGCTGTAGTTGCGGAAATAAATAAAATTTCTTTCTCATTAAAAAACACACACACACACACCAACCATCAAATATGACATTGCGTATCAACTTTCCACCTAAAAACTTGTCTTACCTTGAACATTTGCATTAAATCAGCCGGCTTTCTCTTGAAAATTCCAGAATCATGAGACCTCAACCTCTCCATGGTCTGCTCATCAGATAACACGTGTATCAACTAAATGGATCTTCTTACTTTATTATAAGAGGATGGACTATACAACATAGATATGGTGGACATAGAAAAGGATAAGAGGATATACTATATAAACATAGCAAAGTCCATGAACATCACCTCTTCTTCGGCCTGCAAGAAGGTTCTCAAATCCTCACTCGTTTGGAGCTCATGATGTGAAGCTATCCGATTCACAAATATATCCAAAGCTTGACGCCTCATTTCAATAAATTCAGCACTAAAACGAAATTTCTCTGCATCACAGAAACTGAACTTATTCCAAATATAAAATTTTAATGTGATCTAACCATACCATATCATAACTGGAGCATCTTTTTCATCACTTAAAATGACCTCACTGTGTAAGCTAAATATTAAACTATTTATATCAAGTTTAGCTCCTAGATTTCGCTGAATACAAGCACGTATGGAAAAACTAAACCTTAAATGTTAAATACATTAGATTATCATGCAAACCAAATTGCTTCAACAAAAAGAGGCTAATCATTTGTACCTCAACATAATGGGTAGTTGGTATCTGAACACATTCGTTGGAACATTTTCTGGAATATATACTGTATATCTAACCACCTAAATACTTTTCAACATTATAATATGCATGTGTATTCTCAATTACAGTGTTTGATTTTAAACAGTCTACACATAAAATTACAAAATAACTTCCTGCTGCCATTTTTCAGCTGTCCTAAATATAGAATTATAAGGTAACCCAGCTGCTTATTATAAATATAAAAATAAAAATAAACAAAGGGGTAATTACCAAAAAAAAAAAAAAAGATACGAAAAAAGTATGAATTCAAAGGTTAAAAGGTTAAAGTATGAATTTAAATACAAATATCTTAAATAACATTGTCACTTATCAGCTTTTCTCCACAGAATCTCTACAAAATATGTCTAAGCATGTTAGAAACGTGTTCTTGCCATGTTAAGAAGACATAACACGGTACCACATATTCAAGTTTGTATCTGTTAGTTACTTGTCCAACACAAACACTCAACTTTTCTGATTGAGCTTCCAAGTATATATAGACCTCGTGCAACCATGAAAAGGGTAGCCAAAAAAAAAACCAATATTGAATGTAAGGTAGGACAGGGCATAGACATTAAATTGATTAATTATAAAAATAAAAACAAAAATACTACATTTTATAAGTTGCAGTACCATAGTCCATCATCAACAGGAGCCATAGCAACACCTAATGAATAAGATATCTTGATAGTTAATATCAGAATGTAAGCATGCAATGAGAGCGGGGGAAGGGGAAACATATGTATAATTATTGAGCAACATAATCCAAACTCAAAGATGATGAAGCACTTGATGGCAAAGTTAACTCGTTAACTTCTTACCTACAGCATTCTTCTCTGGAAGAGGAGGAATAAAAATGCCTTTATACTTCTCAAAAATCCGATCATGTAACCAAACAAAATCACTATAACGCCGAATGACAATCTTCTCTGGTCCTTGGTATTCAGGAAAATTAGTCTGCCAATACAATGTTTGATAAATAAATCATTAAAAAACAAGTAAATAAATATTTTGTTTGAATGCAAATGGAAAGCTGTTCAACAATAGATGTTAATCCTAATGCACTTTTCTTTCAAATAAAAAAACCAGGTTTCATCGAGAGAAAATGAAAGAATACAAAAGGGGCATACAAAAAAAACAACAAAAAGAGCCACCCAAAACTACTCTAGCGATGCAAAAAAAGCTCTAAACCAACAAGACAATGACCGCTTGCATCATATACTCTTTAAAAACTCATGTCGCCAATACTTTTCAAGACAATAGGTCATCCCACTTCTAAGCAATGCATAACTTAGATCATGTCCTTCGCAATCCTTCCTTCATCTATTTTCGATCATACGTCGACTCCACCTTAGAGCTTCCTATCAGGCCAATAGAACTTTCCATGAAAAGACAACCCGCTCGTTTTCTTCAAAAAGCCAAGATCTCTAGAATCATCCATCGGCTTGAACTCCTCAAATTATTCAGTTTAGTATATGATAACATTCGATATACAAACTGCTTTCCTTTTTCACATTATTGCCTTCTAAATAGCGAGTAACACTACCACCAAATTCAAGCAATTCGGTCTCTTAGAGTTGCTTGATTACATACACAATCAATGCCAAAACGAGTATAGCTCAGCGGTAATTAGCATGTATCTCCAACCAAGAGGTTGTGAGTTTGATCCCCACCCCATATGTTGTACTAAAAAAAACATACACAATCAGCATTCCTCACTTTGTGTCACAAATAAATTCACATAGTTTTACAAAATTGACAGTGAATTGAACACGAAAACTGTCAGCAGTTCGATGACAATTTGGGTTGTAAGCTAAGCTACACGTTAGTAATTCGGTAATGTCATCGTAAAAATAACTTGGGATACGCAATAGCTCAATAATTCCGGGAAAATGGTGCAAAACGAACCAACAATTAGACATCAGATCGYCTTATCTTCTGGCGAAGATGGAGGTTTGTATTGAAAGTTTGAAGCTCTGGTTCTTTTCAATAAAGTATTTAAGCTCTCTTCTAGGTCGTCTTCCTTGCTGGCTTTTCGGACTGCTCCGATAATGGAGTTATCTCAAGTTTATCTTCCTTTCCTTGTCTTTTATTCCTATTATCGTTAAATTCATTTGGGCTGTATTCCCTAATTGTTTTTCCTTCTCTCTTTTCGGTTTTCTTCTCTCTCAATGGGAGATTGTATCCTTTGAACAATTTTTAAATCAATAAGAGTTTGTATCTTGTTCAAACAAAAAAAATTAGACATCAGGTCAGAAAACCATGGAAAAACACATCTAAATGCACAAATACCTTCGTGATGACTCGGTAAGAGATATAAGCTTGGACGCCATTGCCCAATTTCACAGGATCAGTCACCGAAACTGAAAGAAAAGGCTGCGAAGACGGAGATCTAGGGCTAAGCGACGACCCCGGCAAACTTCTCTCCTGCTCCATATTATTGTAGCCCACCTAACAACGAGAATTCCGAAATCTAGAAGAGAAGATGAAGTATTACCACGTTGAGTTGCTCACTGGAAATGGCGGTACCGATCATGGAAGACGTGGTAGATATTCAATCCAGAAGGTTAAAAGTCTGTTCCACTCCACCACGTTTACGAATCGGATTGCCTCAATTGATCGATGTTGTTTGTCGTGTAGATTTTACTGCTTTCTGAATTTCTGATGCCATTAATTGAAGCTACTGCCACTGCATAAATGAACTGTTTTTTCCCGAGTAAAATTAAATTAATGTCAATTAAATATATAAAATTTGTCTTCGATTTCGTTGTGTTTTATTTTATTATTGATAAACTGACATTTTTGTAGATGTTAATAAATAATCTTTGTTAACTTTTAGCCAACATGAAAGCATCCTGCAAGGAGACTCAATTCTCATCACTGCATTTGTTTTACTTTTATTAAAAAATATTACTCATAAATATAAATACTATCAATCAAATAATCTTTTTTATTTCGCATGTACCTCGAGTAGTAGCTACTGGACCCTGTAACATTTGATATCGAAAAACATAAAAAATTAATTAATAAAATAGGTTATTATCAATCAAATATTGTTGAATGATAATCATGTAAATGACTGTCAATACATAGACTACATTGTTAAATATTATTAGTTCATTCAACATTAAAAAAATGAAGGGTAATTTTGTAAGGATCATACGTCGTATTTGCATACTTTATAGTGTTGTGGTCAAATATTTAACTTTGATCTCTCTATTTAAATTAAATTGATAATTTTTTTTTGTTGAGTCAACTTTACTCCTATTGTTAATTACAAATTATCTAAAGTTATTTGCCAATCGATCATAGTAAGAATGATATATAATAATTACAGACATCTATTTCACATACGATCCACCACTTTCTGTAGCTAGCTTAAATTATTATTATTAACACAACATGTGTGACGGAGATTCGAATTAAATTCAGGATCTTTTTTACGATATTAGTTAAACTGTGCTTTGGTCATATGATTTAAATTATTACTTACTTTTTATTTAAATTTTGTATACCAAGATATAAATATATTTGATCTTGATTCCCTTTATATTAAGTTGTTATATTAATGTATGTAATATGTAAAATAGATGTTTGTATTATATTTTAATATAATTAAAAATAAATATATATTTGATCACGAGTTGCCTTCAATTTTACCATTCACGTATTTTTTTATTTTTTGTGAAGTTGTATTGTTTTTTTTAATACGACAATTTAGGGATTCGAGGGATCCGACCTCAACCTTAAAAAAAATAGTACAGATCAATTACGTTTAATCACGCTCATGTTGACTTTTGTAGAGTTGTATTAATGTACTCTATCATTAAAATATTCATAACAATACAAATATGGAGATCTTCATCCATGATGTAATAATGAGAAGTCAAAGATATTTCCATAAATCAAAAGATTTATAAAAATTATATTTGTAAGATAATAAATAAGTTATTGTCGCTCGTAAAAAAATGTATTAGCGACAATTGATTTATTTCTAATGTTTCGTTTATATTCATTACATGTGAGCTGATTCTCAATATTGACATGAATCCTTTAAACGGGAGTGGTATTGCGTGTTAATTATACATATTATACATAGAGTGGACCAGCTTTGCCAATACGAACTATAAATATATTATCAATTTAAAGATTTGAGGTTCAAATCACTATACTCAACATAGTGTTGAGATACAAAAAAAAATGGTCTGACGCTTGTATATTGTACATATTGGATACGTAGAGTGGTGAGTTGTTACATTAAACTCTATATATTGTGTAATAAAGTGGTCTAATGTTACATGGAAATTTCTACATGTTATATGGTATTATATGAAAGTTGCAGACCCACATATTTTTGTTTCTAATGACATCGATGAGGTCGTTTAACATGTCATTATATTTTTTTTTTTGTTGATGTTAGATATCATCGAGCCTACATCAATGTAAAGTGTCAAAATATTTATTGGTCAAATTTTAGAAGCTGGCTTGCATTCGCACATCCTTAGTTGTTCGAGATGCACATGGAGGAATATGTTCAAAACTTAGAACCTCTATTTGATTTATTTCAACAGTGGAATCAATATCATGAAAGTTAACGTGAAGTAATTGACATGTACTACTTACATCGAGATCGGATCTTCGATCTTCTATATCTCCAAATTGTAGTACTAAAAAAAAGCAGAAAAATACCACAAAATCCAAAATAAAAACGGTGGAATAAGAGTGCTACTATTGTCAACTCATACATATGTTAACGGTTTAAAACACATATTTTTAACTAAATAACCGTAAATTCAAATCTCCAATCCTACATGTTGTACTAAAAATATGCAGTATTATTATTTAACATAAGTCAAACGTAATTTAGTTGATAAAATACGTATCATCATCTGTTAGGTTAATGATTCGATGATTGATTTTAATAATTGTTGAACTAGAAGAACATCACATTATTATTCAATGTGACGTCGATGAGAGTTGAACTCTATTTATGAAAAAGTTCAATTTTATGTATCAAATAGTATTGACATGTATATGTGTTCAAATATATCAATAAAATAATAATTTAACGATGAAATAACTCAATCAACAATATTAAATTACCATAAAAAATAAGTGTCTTTATAAACGTCATATTTAATTTTATATTTTAAAAAGTTAGGCTTGTTTTTTTTTTTTACAATTTTATTAGTAGATTTGTTCACCTATAAAATATATTTGAGTTATTAGTTAAATTTATAAAAAAATAAAATTTTGAAAACGGTATATATAACTTAGATTTTGAAAACATTTGTTAAAATCATATAATAAAATAATAGATAAATATGTGAGTGAAAATAATATTTATAAACTTGATTTTTAAGCCAACCTTAGTTTAAAGTGTTTGTAGTTTGTGGTATATTTTGCGTTTAAAATATTTAAAATGAATTACAAAAAACCAGCCGCTCGCACGTGCAAATAAAACACTAGAGCCATTTAAACCGACTAATTTCACCTGCAGACAGCATCGTCGTTCACAATTGCAAAGCGTGGTAGACTGAAGCCGCCTTCATATCCTCCGGGAACATTTCGCCTCTCCACTGGCGACGAGGAATCTTCTTTCGCCCTTCTCTTAACAAGCAGCTGAAGATTTGCTTGCGCCCATGGCTGCTTCTACTGCTGCTTTGACTTCTACGCCGTTATTAAGCAACAAGGTCTGTACTCGTGTGCTTTCAAGTCTTCCATTCAAAAGATCTGTAAACTTGCCTGTTTCTGTGTTTTTTTTCCATCTTATTCTTCGGCGAGGCTCTATTTATGCATTTTCTGCAGCTGGATCAATACTGTATCTAAACCGTTCATTGTTCTGTTTGTATTTTCAGAAGGATGTGGACCTCGCTGCTTTTTCTCCGTCGCTGCCGTTTTCGTTTCGGAGATGCGAGAGAACGGTATCTAAGAAAATCTGTTCGGTCATGACACCACAGCAATCGGAGCGCAAGCCCAGCGCCAGTGGCTCGGTTGGTTTTCCTTCTATTGACTTTCATTCTGCAATTGGGATCAAGGATTATGTGGTTTATAATTATGTATTTTCTATTAATTTCAGGTCAAAACGGCCATGACTATGACAGAGAAGATTTTTGCTAAAGCTTCTGAAAAATCTCAGTTGAGCCCGGGTGAAAATGTTTGGGTTAATGTGGACGTTTTAATGACTCACGATGTCTGTGGCCCTGGTTCTATCGGAATTTTCAAAAAGGAGTTCGGTGAGAATGCAAAGGTATTTTACTTCTTATAATTTTATGTTAGAAGTTCACAAGTTTAATTAGTATAATAATAAATTTATGCTATTAAAAAGGTAAATAAGTTGTACATTGATTTGTTCTAAGAAAATTTATTGTGACGTTGGATTTGCTTGCATAGATCTTGGTTGTGCTTCAGAAATCTACAATTATGTCCTGGTAAAATTGTGCCAGAGATTTGGAAGAAAGAAGGAAGAAGAAATTGAATTAATTTTAGTTGGAGGTGTAAATTAGTGGAACTAGGCTACACCATGCTCTATAATGTTGTGATTTTGGGAAGTACTGGTAGGTATAGATAACCATTAATGGTTTTGAAACAATTGTCCCTTCGGGGACATCCGATAAAATTGGAATGGTTGAAGCAATTAATATGTCAGTGTCTTATAATATGGGTTCGATTATTTTAGCAGGATGGAGGTTGTTGTTAAACTTAAATTCACCTTAATAAGCCTTCATGTACTGTTCTTGTTCGATCTTTTATTTCTGCTCAGTCAATGTGCTACTTGGATGTTACAGTGACATAACCATTTTTTACTGAAGGTTTGGGATCGAGAAAAAGTTGTGATTATACCTGACCATTACATATTCACCAGTGATGAACGTGCTAACCGTAATGTAGACATTCTGAGGGATTTCTCTTTAGAACAGAATATCAAGTACTTTTACGATATTAAGGATCTTAGCAATTTCAAGGTATGAATATCAAACTTTGCTTTTATTTTGGCACCTGTAAGAGCTATTTCTCTGTGGCTGTTATTATACATGTTAACTAAATGAGCATAAAAAATTTTCCCAGGTGAACCCAGATTACAAAGGTGTCTGCCATGTTGCTCTAGCTCAAGAAGGTCACTGCAGGCCTGGGGAGGTGATATTACTTTGAAATGCTCATCTTTTTTTTTTTTTTTTTTTTTTTATAATATGATTTTCTCTTGTTTGTGATTTCATGTTAAATAAGACTTATGAGATGCTTCATCAGGTTCTGCTTGGTACAGACTCTCATACCTGTACAGCTGGTGCATTTGGTCAATTTGCTAGTGGAATTGGTAACACTGATGCTGGATTTGTACTGGGCACTGGAAAATCACTGCTCAAGGTCTGTCTAATTTTTAACTCTATCATTGTGCTTCTAGCATGGATGTTATTTGACCCTTGTAACATGGGCAAAGTTTGCTGCTTAATTATATTGGTGCACTGTATTATTTGAGTAGATTTACATATTGTACTATGGTTGTATTATTCAAAAGAGGATGTACAACAGAAGGAGATGAGATATCCCGCAAGAGCCAATGTATTACAAAAAGGACTCCCCCAATTGGCATAAATATGAGTAAAACCATAGTTAAAAAAATATTTGTTAAGGGAACACCAAGTACAAGCTTGATATTTAGCCACATCCCAAAAATCGTTGCTAGCTGATTCTTCCATTTGAAAAATCCTCCAATTCCTCTTTGCCCAAAGCTCCCAAAGGAGGGCCACCGCTGCATTATACCATATGATTCTAGCCTGGGCACCAAAATGTGTTCCTTAGATAACCTGAAGCAAGCCATCAGAGACATTGTTGGGGATTACCCTACCCATGACAGGTTGAAGCAACCGGGAAGACAATTCCTGCAAGTAGAAGCAAACAAAAGAGGATGTACCCTGGTTGTTTTGGAAATCAAATTTGATTATTAAAATCTGTTAAACACGTTATTTTTAATTGAGGACGATGACATTCTTTAAGATGAATTAAATGATAGCTTTGACTTCATCTTGCTGTCCTACTTATTCATCAAAGAGCATGATACACATTCAATGGTGCATTTTCTGCTCGGCTTCAAAGTATAAAGAAATCAATAACTTCTATTTACATTATTTCATATCCTGTGTTCCTTCATATCATATTCTTCTTACATACTTGCATGATATCCTTCGAAGACTTGCAATTTTTATTTTAAATCTTTTTTTTGTTGGTGTGTATTTTAATTGCAGGTTCCCCCGACTCTAAGATTTGTAATGGATGGAGAAATGCCTGATTATTTACTTGCAAAGGACTTGATTTTGCAAGTAAGTCGAACCATATTAAGATTTTTGCGTTTCTTTAAATGGTTAAATGGCTACTTAAGAAGATATTTGCGTTTCTTTAAATGGTTATGTGCCTCCATGTACAAGCACATCTTGACTTATGATCTTGACATGAACACATTTAGACTTACCTGCACTTAAAGGTAATTTTTTTTTGGGTCTTCTAATGGTATCAAAAATAAAAATGTCATTGATGATATAGAAATATGGATGCCTTAGATTGACAAAATTTCAAAATTATGAATAATGCTGAAACTTTATCTTTGTCTAGAAATCATAATTTTGAAGTGTGAGCCTAGTTGCTAGGTGCAGCGAGTGCATTTCACTTCAGCAGAGGCTGAGATGGCTAGGGCTCTTTTATTTTTATTTTCTAAAGAAGTAAAAAAATGTTCAAAAAACATATATCTCTAAACATTCTCTTGAATAACCTCTCATTTCCACTATGTATATGCCTGAAAATTTGGTGTAAAACCTGTCATTTGGAATTAAATACTGAGAAACCCCTAATTTCTTTGATTTTGCATTATCTCGTTATTCATGATGCCATTTAATTAAGGACTTCTGTAATCATCTTCTAGACCTTTTTTTTCTGGATTAGAGCCATTTCCCTGTGATTTACCTAGCATCACATTCAGGAAAATAATTTCCCCCCTCCGCTGCCTGTGGTTGGAACGGATATACATTTATTAAGTCTTCAAATGTTACTTGTGTAGTCTTTTATTTATGTCATATGGTGTCTAATAGTTTTCTGTCTTTTAGTGGTTGCACTGTTAACTGAACCTACTATTTGCACCTTACAGATTATTGGTGAAATATCAGTATCTGGTGCGACTTATAAAGCCATGGAATTTGTCGGCACAACTATTGAAAGTTTAACTGTGAGTACTCTAAGTGAGTTTTACAGAGATCTTAGGATGTTACTTGACGGTGATTTTTCGTATATGTAAATATTTTATATATGCATTTGGTGAACAAATGTTAATGAAATATAATTTGATTGCTCGTGTCCTGTCTTCTGGTTAGATGGAAGAGAGAATGACATTGTGCAACATGGTTGTTGAAGCTGGAGGAAAGAATGGAGTTATTCCTCCTGATAGTACTACGTTCAAGTACCTTGAGGTTAGTCCATGGGGGGACATTAAAGCTTACCGAAATAATTTTAAGTCTCTTTATTTAGCTTGTCTGCAACATTCAAGTGCCTCGGGGCAAGTACAAAAGGGGCATTGAAGTTATTGAAACTGTTCTGTTCCTAACTTCCTCCTTTTAATTTTGAGGAAGTTTGTATGTCTGCTTGCGAGGAACGGTTGAAGTGATACATTGAAGTGTCAATGAGGCCACTATTACTTTTACTTAGATGTTTTTATTTGTAGTGAATGTATATGGCATGGTTTCATGTATTTTTCATTAAGTTATCAAGATGGATGATGCATATATGGCCAGGGATGCATGCTATTGATTTGAATTGATATTGAAATAATTTTAATTTTAAGTCTCTCTATGTAGCATTTCTGCAGGATTAAAGTGCCTCAAGGTGAGTACAATATTTTTTTTGTTGGGGGGGGGGGCATTGAGGTTGTCAAAACAATCCTGTCTCTCTTGTTAGTATGTTTACCTGTCTGCTTGCAAAAAGGACAAAGCTGAAATGATACATTAACATGTCATCAGATTTGATAAGATACTTCTATCAATTTTTTTTTTTTTTAAATTGATCATCCATCAGAGCTTGTTGGGATTATGGTATTACGTGTTTTGGACAGGATAAGACATCCAAAGCCTATGAACCAGTTTACAGTGATGGGAACGCAAGGTATTTCATATATTGCAGTCAATATTTTGCTATCTTCTGAATTACTATATTTGCAAGGATGTACTGTTTACGCATAGTTTGACATTATACAAATGTTATGCATATACTTTTTTCCTTACACGCATCTTCAATACATCATTCATGTATTTATATTGATCAGCTGGCACATTATGGCTCATGATAAACAAATAATGCTAAAATTTGTTTAGTAATAAGTAATAACCACCATAAATTGGCTCAATGGTTAAGAGGGACAAGCTGTAAATATAAATGAGATTCCTGAGTTTAGTTTCTCAGTAGTCGATAGGCTTTTGGGCATGTATGAGGTAAAATTTAATCTTGTAAAAGTGAAAGAAAAGGCTGTAAAGACCCTGTAATTGAAAATATTCTGTTTTGCTTCATAATAATTAGTCGTGCACAGTACACGTATTTATAATATACAAGGGCACTAGCAGTATGCTCAAGCCCAAATAATGGCACCTAATACTCTAACAGTATAACAGGAAAGCCAAACTGATAACATAAATAATATCCTCAACTAACAGAACGTAGTAATGAAAGCTGAAGAAGAATATTTGATTTTATAATATTTATTGGCCTCAAATTTTAGAGAAAGGGAGGAGTTTGGGGAGGAGCTAGAGATTCTGCACTTACTGTCATGGCAACTGGTGCTTGGAAGGTGACTTAATGTTACCATTGGTCCCCTGAAAATTGAAATTGAGGTAGAAGAACAAAAAATATGAAGAGATTTGTCATTGTTATTGAAGCATTTGAGTCTGTAGAAATTCCTTTATCGAATGGTAAAATTGCATGGTCGAAATTTGAGGGAAGTGCCAATGGACAAAACAAAATTGTTGCCTGATAGATTTCCACTTCAAAATTATGGTTGGACATGCTCAAGAGAGTGTCAAAAAAAGCTAAGCTGATTTCAGATCATGGATCCTAAATTTTGGAAAAGGGGATTTATTTTGGGTCCATGTTCCAACCTCTTTTTTGTTTTGAGAACACTTCAGCTTCAAGACTTGGGAACGACAAAACTGTTTGAATGTTGGTAGGAAAATGGTTTGTTTTTTCTTTTTTTGGATGGTTGGGCTTCAAAAATGATCAAAAAGATAAGCGAAATGGAAAGAAAGATAAAGGCTTGGGTAGAAACTTTCGTGGGAGCATAGCAAAAGAAAGGAAATACATTGACAAGGAAAGGGATAGGAGGTTTAAACTTATACCAATGTACTTTGAGATTTGTTTGTTTGTTTGTTTTTGGGATGAAAAAATCATGCTTGTATTGAGAAACATGAAAGGAAAATATAAGGGCACACAAAAAAACTGCCCCTCAAAAGGAGTCATAGATTTAACTATGCACGTAAAGACTCCAATCCAAAATAATAAAACCTATTTGACCCCAGGCCGCATTGGGTTTAGGGTCCCTTGGTCATACTGACTTAGAAGTCTCAAGTTCGAACCTTTAGGTCAGTTTAATACAAAAAAATCCTTAATGTCTTCCGGGTACAGGGGAGCAAAGTTCAGACTCGCTTAAGCTGGCCCAGACACTCACGAATTATAAAAAAAAAAGATCTATATGATAATTATAGAAGAATGATTTAGAAACCCAAGCTCACAAAGATGTGTTAAACGCAACAATATTCCAAACCTCTTCTCAGGATCTCTCAATCCCTCTAAAAATTTTACCATTTCTCTAAAGCCAAGTATCCCGCAAAATAGCAAAAAAAAAACAAGCATGTTAGAGGTCTGTGCCCTTATCTCGAATAGAAGATTTAGAATAATCTCCTCCATCGAAGAACAACAATTTCTATTATGCATCTTGTAGATCCCAAAAACGGTCACAAAGTGATTCCATAAAGTCTGAGCAAATGAACAGCTCTGCAAGAGAGGTCCTTTGACACCTGTTTACAAAGTCTGAATAGCTCTGCAAGAGAGGTCCTTTGACTCCTGTTTACAAAGGCTGCTCCACTGTAGACCCAACACTGAGGAAGAATGCTTTGAATACGAAATGAGGCGTCAAATCTTCAAAGCAAGAGGCCACATAAAGAATTTAACCTTCTTGAATATCTTTACTAAAAGGGCTGCCACTAGGTACTTTGAGATTTATTGGCCGGAGGAGGGTAGACTTTTGCAGAAGAGTAAACTTGTCTGGTTAAAGAAAGGGATGCCTTTGCAAAAAAAGAAAAAAGGGGAAGGGGATGGTATTCAATGTTCTTTCGAAGATTGCTAGATTCTGGGTGGCAATAAGTTTTAATCTGATGAGTTAGTTTTAGAGTTAGAATCTGGAGTCAGTATTGTAGAAGACACAGGCATCAGAGAGAAAATCTTAAAGTTCTTCAGTATTCTATATACCAAAAACGATCATGGCAGTTTTATTCTGGAAGGTGTAATTTCAACTATGAATTCGTTAGGGGGGCTTGTTTTTTAAAACATGAAATTGGGTAGAATTCAATAAATTATTGAAAACCTAAGTGAGTTTTGCTATGCTTGCTCTCTCTCTCATTGTTATTGATTTGTAAATTATGTTGCACTTACAGATTCGCTTCTCTCTCTCTCTCTCTTTCTCATTGTTATTGATTAGTATATTATGTTGCACTCAGATTTCTTTCAGAGTACAGATTTGATGTATCAAAACTGGAGCCTGTGGTAGCTAAGGTAGGTGATCTAGATGGCCCTATTATAATATATATACATGCATAAATATATATAGGTACAGATATTGTTTCTGACAATGTTTACTTGTTTCCCTTTCCTTTTTTTTTTTTGTGGAAAAAATTCAGCCCCATTCTCCAGATAATCGTGCTTTAGCAAGGGAATGTAAAGATGTGAAAATTGATAGAGTATATGTCGGATCTTGTACTGGGGGAAAGACGGAGGATTTTCTGGCTTTGGCTAAAGTTTTTCATGCTGCAGTAATAATCCTCGACTCTTTTACTTGTGAATGTGATTGCGTACACTGCTTATTACTGTCTCAATTGATATCATAATATATTTTCTTCTTAAAATGGTTGATAGTGCTTTAATTCTTTTCGTGTGGTGACTGACTTTAACTGTAAGAATGAGACGTCATGTTAATATGAATGTTGCAAGCATAAACGACCACTGGCACTTTTCTTTCAATGATATTGGCTTACTATGCCACTTCTTACCGTAGTATTGGTTTGAAACATGCATGGAATATGTAAGAATGTTTCTGAGTTTCCACATGACCCCTTGTCGTTGCTACATTTTGCTTATTTTATATTCATATTTTAGCATCTGGATATTTTTTTGGAGGCTGCATTTATGCTAATATAGTGTAAATCTTATTTGCAGGGAAAGAAGGTTAAAGTTCCTACATTTATTGTCCCCGCCACCCAAAAGGTTTTCAACTGTGTTTAATTCTGTGCTGAAACGAAATTTTGGTCATCATTAGAAATTGCACTCAGGATTGTGTACAACTGTTCATGAACTTGTTTCGCTCTATTTTTCTGTAAAAATATATAGGTTTGGATGGACTTATATGGTATCCCAGTACCTGGAGCTGGTGGTAAAACTTGCTCTCAGATATTTGAGGAAGCGGGCTGTGATACACCGGCAAGTCCTGGTTGTGCTGCTTGTTTAGGTGGACCTAGGGATACTTACGCAAGGATGAATGAACCACAGGTGAGTCATGATTTTTATGTCAGTTCAGTTTTACATTAAAATTATAATATAAAAAAAATGGAGTGTTATTCTCTAGGTAGATCTCTACTGATGAATCCGGCTACCAGCCATAATCTTTCCACGAGGTAGTAATTGGAGATGAAGTAAATATTCAGCCTTGCTAACACCAATAGAATAATTACGCACTACATAAGAACATTCTAGCCAAATTGATCTTCAAAGTATTTTGATTTTCTGAACATTATGGAATCAAGCTTCTAATATACTGCATGATCGAGTGTCTGACTTGTTTCTTTCTCATGGAGTCGTCAAGAGAGTAATGCATCCGAGGAGTTTTTGAGATCCTAACGGTCAAACTGTTTTTATCCCCTCTTGTTTAAGTTATCATTAAAATTCTTTTCATGGAAATAGTACTGGAGTCATCTGGATATCTTTATGTTTGAGAGGAACAAGGGTATTTTTATAGATGTAAAGAGGCTCCTGTGAAGAGGTTTAGAGATTGTGTAGTTCAATACTTCCAAGTGGACTTTTATGCCCAACTCTTCATGTTATGTTTCTTTAGAGCCTTCTTTAGTTGCCAACCTGAGGTATCAGTAGGTTACTGGTCGAAATTGTTAATCTCCATCTCAAAATTGTAATGCAAAAATGTCGGCTTGCCTAACTTTTGAATGTCTGAATGAAACTACATTCTCTCCCTATAAAAAGAAAACAAACCTGGGCCAGCTAGGCAGCTACCAATGGAATTGGATGTGGCATATGATTTCTATCTACCAAAAGTTAGTATCAAACTAAAACAACAAACGGTATTTTGGATTGGAGTCACTTTTTGTATAGTTAATTGGTTCGTGGACTGTTTTGGGTTGATTTTTCTGGTAGCTCCTTGGCTTGTTCTTTTGTTCTCTTCGTTCTCTTCTCAAGTAAAAGAAAAAAACATGTTAACCATACTGAAGATCGCTAAATAATTTGGAAACGAGTGGAAATTGGATCGTCACATGCTATGGATGTGGAAATAACTTAGGAGGAGGGGCTGTTGTTTGCAGGTTTGTATTTCAACAACGAACAGGAACTTCCCAGGTAGAATGGGACACAAGGAGGGACAGATATACCTTGCTTCTCCATATACGGCTGCAGCTTCAGCTTTGACTGGATATGTAACTGATCCAAGAGAGTTCTTGCAGTAGATCCACAGAATTGGAGATAATATACTGTATGTTCCATGTATTATTTGAACTGAAATCAAGTTTCATCTCGTCATGTTTGTATCTGCTTAGAGCCTTGTAACCAGTAGATTATCCCTCGTTTGAAGTTCTATTGAGATTTTGGTCTGTTTGGATTTGAAAGAATTGGCTATGAATTTACTTTGAAATGAATGTTTATAATAATAATAATAATAATTTAAGCACTATCTATATGGTTTCTTTTCTTCTAAAAAATAATATTTCCCCTATTTATATCATGTTAAAAAGTTACCAAGATTTGAAGATGTAGGATTATTCTCTTCCACCTTTTTGTTTTACGATATGAGGTTTTTCTATCATCTTTTCTCTCTTTAGTTTTGGGAGTTGCATGACTCTATCTAAATGATAATGAATTTTTTTTTTCTTTTCCAATAAGATGATAATCATGGATTCTTGGTACATCATCTTGTTACAAGTTTCAACGTAAACTTCTTCAAATATATATCTCAAGCATTTCGGAATGTAGCATTTGCTGAGAAAAATTGTAAACTTGTTAATTATTATGCTGATTGAAATTATTATTCATAAATTTCTGTTGTCGTCGAAAATTGAGACAAAAATAATGCGACCAAATTTTTCTAAAAAAGTTTTTGAAATTAAAAATCTCAATAGTTATTTGAATTGAAATAATCAAGTGAGTTCGGGAAATTGAGTTAGAAACGTGTTGTCTTATCTATCATTGAGTGGTGCCTGTATGTCAAAGTTATAAATTGGGTGCAAGATATTGCATATGAAGGATTTGACTATGCCTTTGATAGGAGAAAGATCTTGAGAGATGAACTTGGGCGGTCAAGATCATACATGTCAGTGAGAGGATATCCCGTCGGATACAGAGGTACTCTGATAACTAGATCGTCCTTAAACTAAATATCAGTGAACATCTTGCTGGCACGTTTTGTTCGAGGTTGGAACCGAGTTGAACTATCCTCAATGCGATATGGGCGTTTCTCCTCAACTTCGCGGACCCGAATCTCGATCTAGATCTACATGTTCTTGCAGGAGCGATCTACACGTTCTCGATTTTAACCCGTAACAACTAATAAATTTGTAATATTAATATTAATATTCATATTAGTAATTAATAATGGTTTAAAAAACAAAAATCATATTAATAATATGAGTAAAATGGGCTGCATAGGGTGCAAGCCCATTAACATCCATCTTTAAGGCTCATTACACTATCTCCGTATGGAATCTATAAAAACCCACTTAATCTCATCAATTGCCAGAAACCTAGGGTTTCCTCTTCGTTTCTTGCCGCCTTTTTTCTTCCTCCTGTTCTCGTTCGTCTATTTTTCGTTACTCTGTTCTTGTTTGCCGCGTTTTTCATCGTGAATTTCTCTGCGCGGCCCTTAAGATCGCCTTCCTCAGTGTGAAATGGAAGCGTTTCGAGTCATAGCTGCGCTACAGCGAATACTCTTTCCGGAGAATCCCATTAGGGTTTTCCTTCTGGAATTCTCTCCATTTCCCATTTGACCTTTTTTTCGAGGCATTTGATCTCCGCCTTTGGATCTCCTACTTCCTTTTTTCTGGAACCCTAGCGACTTGGCTTCTCTGCTGTTTCGTTAGTTTAGTTTCAGATGATTGGAGTTTCAGACCCGTGTGGACATTTTCTATGTCTCGCTTTAAGGTGGGTTACATTGCCCCTTCGTTTTTCTTGTACTTCTATTTTGGATTTAATCATAGTTGTTTTCTCTTCCAAATCTGTGATAAGATGGTCATGAATTTGTGGCAAGTATGATGAATCAATTAGATGTGTGAAAGGATTAGTCCTTCCTGAACTTAACCTTTTGAGGCATTTTTCAATTGTCTGACTTGCCGGAGTTTTTACCTCTTTGGTTCAGTTAAATATTGTTATCTCTTATCAGTTTAATTTTCCTGGGAAGGGGTGGTTGCAATGTTTTTTTTTCTCTATCTAATTTTTTGGCTTTTAAATTAATGCATTCGCGCAATTTATCAAATGATGGATTTAAATTGAAGTGTGTTTCATTGGTTGGGGGTCGTCTTAGGCCTATTCGAAGTGTATTAACGGTGCATTGAACCGTATTGATATTATTCTTTTCAATTGTGATTTTGTTAATCTTTTTCATTTCAATGTTTTTATTAGGAAACTGAAGTTTTGTAAAAAAATTTTAGTTCGTGTTTCATCCAACATAAATAAGAATTTGACGTAGTTTATTATTTTTATTCATTTAAACTTTTATATTTCCTAGTATACGAGTTTGGTTTCGAAATGTTAAATAAATTTGTTCATCTTATTTGAACCAAAGTATGATGCCTTTTGTCTATGATGGTTTTAAATATACTTTGAGATTAACCTCTATGAAAAGTATTAAATCTGAGGCATTAAGGCGTTGTTCATAGTTAGTAATTGTGTCTTGTCTTGTGTTTTGTTTTCCTATTTTGTTGTCGTGGACACAAAGTTATGTAGAAAGGGTTTAAGACTGTGCAAGTGATGATAAAATAGACAGGGACATCAGAACACTGTAAGAGTATGATGATTTGTCGATGGGAATCTCTCTGATGCACATGGTTATTATTATTATTATTATTATTTTTTTGCCGATGATGCATTCCAATGCACGTATTATCAGACCAAGAAATGATGATACCGATTGTCACTACCTCTGAGGCAAAACCCTTTCTACAATTTGCATTTGTGTCTGCAGTTGATATAATGTTCTGTAATTGTTGCCCTGCGTTTTAAAACTATTGTTTGATGAACTTTTTTGAATGATGTTATCTGATACTGTAAGTAATTTGTTTGATGGTCTGATCAGAATTAGTGATTTTGAATACAGTTTTCATGATTCTTAGTGTAAGCCTGATGATTGTGTTAAGAACGGAGATTCGAATGGTGCTTTTGTGGAAGCCTAATTAGTTTTCGGGCTCCAAGAGTATTGCATGTGACAAATCTAAAGAACATCAAATGAAGGCTTAGGCTGGTGAATCCTATTATAACAATAATTCTTTTCGTTCTTGTTATTTATGTATAAATACTCTCTTTGGCTTTTAACGTTTGTAGTTCATTCCGACATAGGAAAGGAATTTGAACCCTTTGATTTTGTTATGATTACGAATTCATATTGAACTCCTCCGATCTTCTACTCAGTAATAAGCTTGTGATTTAATTGTATTTTTTTGTTGTCGTGTATTGATTTGGTTTAAGTTTGGATATTCGATCATGAATTTTCAGAATAATCAACGAGGTTGTTGATCACAAGATGAAGAAAAGCCTCTGCCGCTTGTGTCTTATGGGCCAATTTTTTAGAGAGATGAATTTCTGGTTTTTTATAAATACGCAGAAACTAACGTTTGTGGGAACTAATGTGTCCAGATGATTATTACTCCCCTACTGTACAATTATTGTACTCGTATGTTTCAATCATTACATTCTTTAATTGGGATATTTACTCTCGCTTATTTTAGTTCACTTTTTGTCATATTTGTTAATTGTATTTTTTCTGAAGTTAATACCATGAATAATGTCTGAAAGTTTGTAAATTTTAACATTTTCAGCCCCAAATTCTACAAAATTATGTTCGAATAAAATATGTAGTTATAGTTTAGCAGACATCGAAAGAGTAGTGTTGGATTCATGTTCCATGTATTCTTCAATTTCCAATCATTCTGGCATATGTGTTGCCGTGTCTTAATGATTTTGAATTTAAAAAATTACCAATAATTTAATGTTAACTCAAAAGACTAAATAAACAAAATTTGTTTCTTTTTTAAGAATAGGGTGCAGAGTAAATAACAAATCGTTACAGAAAATCAATCTTATTTAATTTATCAAGATTGCATTCTTTTTTTTTTTTTTAAAAGAAATGAAAATGTTTACAAACGATGGTTGTAATTTCACTCTCAAATTTGTATGTGTGAAAATTGTACTCGTTAACTTTTAAATTTACTCAGTAAAAAAATCGTACTCATTAACTTTTAAATTTAAAAATTAAGCCTCTAAACTACCGTAAGTGAAAATATTCCGGTTGATTTTGCCGGACAATCAAGCTGCACTTCCTTCTAACAAGTTTCTGGCGTTCATTTCTATTGTTGAAGAGGTGACCTCGTGCTCTTCAAGAAATGAATCCAATTTGCATTTGATTTGGGAAAATTCTCTTCTTTTCCTCTTTTGATAGGGCTATTCACACCTAAATTTATCATTTCCAAAATTTAATCCTAAAAAAAAAAAACTAGTTTAATTGTGTCCCCCTGGTCTCACTTTCTCTCTTTATAGTTCTTCCTCGTCCCTCCTCACCAGTTAAAAAGTTTTCGAAGTAATTCCTTATTTTTCGATTTTTTTACGGTTCTAATGCGTGTATAAAATTAAAATTCAGATTTATAAGGGCCAATACCAATGACATACTATATATTTCTCTCTCTGTAAATTCTTGAGAATCCAATTAATTCGATCCCAAAAAGTTATGTTTAATCTGAAATTTTCTTCCCAAATTTCTCGGCATCCAAACCTCTAAACGAAAATTAGAAACTAAACCAACAACGCCTTCGAAAATAGAAATTGAAATTGGTACTGGAAATTGATGTACAGAGGTAGAGGAGGGAAAATGGGAGAAAGTTTAGGTGTAAATTTTTTCAATTATGAAAGTTTAGGTTCTAATTTTTACGCTTAAAAGTTTATTAGTACCATTTTTCCACTTATAAAAGTTTAACAGTTCAATTTTTAAACTCATACAAGTTGAAAGGTGAAATTGCAATAATTAAAAGTTTAAGGGTATTTTATTGAATCGGATATAATATTGAATTGAGGAGGAAAAATTTTTATTTATACAAACATATATAGTTTTTCTACGAATATCATCTTAGTTCAACCGTAATTGACAATTCAATCTAATTAAGGTGTTGGTATATTTGACTCGATTGTAAAACCTTATATTTTCTTTTCTTTGAATTCAATAGTTACAAGTACGAGTGTTGAATCCTCAACATTTAAATGACACACAACTCAACGCATAAAATAATATTTGATTGAATATATATTTATGATATCGCAAAGGAAGTAAACCATTGAATACGTCGTGGCAATTACAAAATGAGCAGTCATTGTTTTCCACCGAACTTGACTTTGTTTGCCCAATGCCCATTAATTCCCCATTCCCATTCATTCATTATTCTCTCTTAGCTTTTCTTTGCACGTAATTTACAATCTCTTCTTCCATAATCCTCATTTCCAAGAAACCCCCGAACCAAAATAAAGCTTCCACCTTTAACTTATTAGCTTTACTTCTCAATTGCTTACACTTGGAGAGAAAAATGGCAGATTATTTACCACCTGGGTTTAGGTTCTACCCCACTGAAGAAGAGCTGGTTTCCTTCTATTTGCACCACAAGCTTGATGCAGCTACAACAAATCATCATCTCATCAAACTCATGGATCAAATCATACCCCTTTCGGATATTTACCGATTCAATCCTTGGGATCTTCCACGTAAGTTCTTTCTATATATATATATATATCTCTCTCTCTTTTTCTAACTTATTTGATCTTATTTTTCTCTTTTCATTATTCTTTTGGAAGATGTTGTAAAGGGTGTGTTATGAAAATAATATATGTGGATATCGAAAGAAAATGATAATAATGGAAATTTATTTATTGGTATTGGAACTTTCTTAGATTCGATCACAAACAATTCAATCATAGATATGCATATTTAATATTAGGGTTTTTCTTAGACCTAAAAGTTGGAGTAGTGGTTTAGGTTAGGAAAATTTTAATTACTTTTCCTTTTATTTTTAATTAACACCCTTAGCCAATAGTTCGGCGGTAATTAGTATATATCTCAAACTAAGAGGTTGTGATTTTGATTTCTCACTCATATATGTTGTACTCTACACTTAATCTTAAATGAACGATTATATTTGTACTAATGTAGACGATTTTGGATGAATGAATTGATTAGAGTTACGTTTAAAATAATCACTCTACTATGATACTCTATTAAATTATCGTGTTTGGCAGAGTTTGCTGGAGAGGTGTGTAGGAGGGATGAGGAGCAATGGTTTTTCTTCGTACCGAGGCAAGATAGCGAAGCAAGAGGAGGGAGGCCAAAGAGAGTGACAAGCAGTGGGTATTGGAAGGCAACTGGGTCTCCAAGCCAGGTTTATTCCTCAAACCATAGAAGCATTGGAATTAAAAGGACTATGGTTTTCTACAATGGAAGAGCTCCCAAAGGAACTAAAACTCAATGGAAGATGAATGAATATAAAGCCACTCCTTCTCCCACCACTATTCCAAAGGTTCAAATGGTAGCTAGCTAGTTTGCTTAGAGGATTCTTTTCGTTTCTGCGTACGTATTTTTATTGTGTCGGGTCCGTTTAGTAATACTCTCGTTTTTTCATTTTTCAAGTTTTGAGAAATATAGGTGTTTGATAACTATTTATATTTCATAAACTAGATATAAATAAGAAATAGAAACATTTTCAAATTGACTCTTAGGATTAGCATGCATTGCTCCAAAACCTATGGATTCAAGAATGATAAAATGATATTTTTATTATGTTTTGGAACAAATTAGAAATGAAAACAAAAAGGGAAAAAACTTATTTTTCATTATTTACGAGAAACAGAAACGTTACCAAATAGTTTCTTAATTTCTATATTTTAATAAAGTTCTAATGTGTCATTTTAGAATTATATTTATTTAGTCTCTATACTTAAAAAAATAATAATAATATACATCGTCGTCTCTCATGATGCTATCTATTTTGTCTATATGCTTTTTTTTAAAAAAATTATTAGGTCGTTGTTCAATTTTCAATTTTATATTTAATAAGTTTATGTGTTAATCCATTTTGCACTTAGATGACATGTCCTGACAGGATATTATTTAAGGATTACGTGTGTTCGACTGAATTCAAGAGTAATCTTTAAATAATATATACCATTAATGTAATACGTGGTTGACACATATTTACGATTAACAGATGATGAGTTCGAATCACCCCGTGATCAAAGAAAAAAATCAACTGATGCACTTCGGACATGTGGAAGAAGGTTAAGAACCAAAACTTATAACTAATATTATTATTTTTGCATGCATGCAGTTGAGCTTGTGTAGGATTTACAAGAAATCAAAGTCATTGAGAGCATTTGATCGACGGCCGCTGCTGCAGGCGGCAGCAGAGGTGGAGACGGCTGAGATTGCGGCGGAGGAACCGCCAGCTCAGCATATAAACGTTGGCGACGATGACAAGTTAGTTGATCAGAAACCGAATGCGCCATTAATGGAGGAGATGGGGAGCTCCCCTGAAACAGGCTGTTCTTCAGAAGCCTCAAAGAATAATAACACGCAGTTGCGGATGGATGTTGATGATGATGAGCTTGTGTGGGATTGGAACCATTTGAATTGGCTCTAGTCATCTTCAACCACACACATTATCTAATACAAAATATTTGATCAAATAACAACATAAATTAATTAATACTAATGGAAGAGGATTTTGTATCCTTAAAGTTAATTAGTGTCGTAGTTTTTATTTAATTAAATGATGTGATAAAATAAAATAACGTATGTTTAAATATGTCTGTTGGTACTTCTGTACGTATTTGGCAAATAATATATGAATTAATTTCTAAATTTTGTGTTTAATCTTTTCCAATTCTCAATTTATTAAAAATTTTCGTGTATGCACTTCTGCATTAAAAATTATGTATTCTCAATTAAGCTTCTTAAATACTATTACAGATGTGTTTTTAAAAAATGTGAAAATTAATAAAACATCTTCTAAAAAAGATTGAAAGTTAAGGAAGCAACTATATGTAGAGCCTTTTTTTTCTTTTTTCTTTTTTTTTAACAATGGAGATAAACTATCATTATATTAATATATTTAAAACCGTGAATATGCTATTGTATGCTACTTGGGTACATCAAATCCTCCAAACATCTATATGAACAGAGCAAAATTCAATCGGTTTATCGATAAAATCTATGTCTTCCAAGTGACATATATATTTATGCGTCTAAATTATATTTCAAAAATAAAAATTTAATGATACACCAGCATTTTGTTAATAGACTTGAGAAATTTAAACACATGTTCATTGACAAAAAAAATTGAGAATTTTATTGAAAACGAAAAAGAAATTAGGATCATTGGATATATTTAGCCTTTATATTTCCATAGGAGTTTCATTTTCGTCACAAATCTCTTCCAAGAGATCATGACTCACTCTTATACGACAAGAAGTCTTACTCTGAGAAATTAATAGCATCATTTAAGGGCAAATTCTTATGGAAAATAAGTCAATGGGCGAAGACATTGGGAAAATAATTCTCCTAATTTTTCCCCATTTTAGTCTAAAACCAAGAACATTGAATCGGTCAGCTAAAAAAAAATGGAATGAAATAAATATCATTGACGATATATAGAAGAAATATATCACTCTCGTGCCAATATGGATAAGTGTCACCATTCATCTTATCCTATTAATTGGGTCGAGCCATATGAGAGATTTTTAGATTTCGTTTGGTAACGTTTTCGTTTCCAATTTTTGAAAAAAAAAAAAAACTAAACATTTTACAACTAATTATGTTTCTTGTTATTTCTTTTTTAGAATATTCTCGAAATTGCATTGAAATTTTGGAAATAACAAAAACAAGTTTTTTTTTTTGTTCGTATTTTCAATTTGTTTCAAGACATAAATAAAAAATTGCTTTATCCTACTTGAATTTATAGATGTTGGAGTCATACAATTTATTTTTCTTTATTAAAATTAAGAAACAGAAACAAGAAATGGAAACGTTATCAAACGAGCTCTTAGATTATAAATTCAACCTATAAGATTATTAGAGAGATAAACGTATATTCTAAATAATATTATTACATATAAATCAATAGCAACGTAATATTCTCACTTTTTCGTTCTTTAAAAAAAAAGACCACCTTTTCATATTGTTGTTTCCATTTCAATCCATTTGTTTGGCGAGTGTTTCACATAAAAATAGAATTTTGAAGTTTGAAAATATTGTTATGTCGTGGGAAAACAGAATTGATTACGTTTGTGTGAAAATGAGAAATTTGTAAAATGGGATTTAAATTATCTATTTATTTAATTGGTAAATTGCAATTATATTTTTCATAAATAAATTAAAATATATAAAGTTTGACTAAATGTTTAATGGTTTTGTTTAATAAATTACTTCCTACCTAAATTTTCCATGAAAGAATTAAAATTAAAGAAATTAAATTAAGGATTTTTTAATTTGATATCCTTTGGAATTCAACTTTGTTAAAAAAGATTTGGAGACTTAATTTAGATTAGACCAAGTTAAAATTTCATGTCAAGTTCAAGATCAAATATATAATGAATTTTTTTTTCTGGCTTAAATATATAATTTTATCTCATTTTCTCATTTTAAAAAATGATCTCATAATCTGTTAAAATTTTCAATTTCAGACTAATTAAAGTTTTGTCTGACTAAATGTTTAAAAAATCATTAAAAAGTGATACAATGCGAACCATCATAGATTGGAGATACGCGCCCTATTTTCATAATGACAAGGTTTATATTTTTTATTATGAATAATAAATACATTTTTTAAAATGCAAAACTCATACAAATGGCTGCACCTTTTTTTAGAAATTGAAACAAAAACTATCCATGTTTTTGTTCGTAGCTAATTATTTGAATAATCATAAACCTAGCCCTTTTCTTGTCTCAATTTTGAAAATTAATAAGATATTGTGCTTAGAAATTTAAACCTTATATATCGAAATAGGAAAATGTGTAAAAATTCAGTTGGTATATTATACATTTTCCTATATATATATATATATATATATATATATTATTTAGATATAAAAGATTGTGTTGGAATGATGTCTTATTTTTTCTTTTATTACTAAAGAGTCGGCGATTATTAGTCTTTATGTCTTTATACAGGAAATATTCCTTGAACTCCAAGCCACTCAAACTGGTTATTCTCCCAACAAATGTTATTCAATCAAATAAATGATTATTAAAATATATTCGTTTAAATATTGCTATTATCATTACACATGCATCTCTCATTATTCTTGTCATAAAGATATATATCTATCTAATAAAGATATAAGTACGAGTTAATTAGATGTCATTCTCTAAAAAAAAAAAAAGTTAATTAGATGTCAAATTTACTATTCGAATTTTAATTATTTTTTAATTTTTCCGTGTTCCTTACTCTTCAATACTCGTTAGCCGCCCTAAGATTCGAATCTTAAAATATCTTAAATCAACTCAATTTTACCCATCAAACAGATCGCTTATACGCCTCTAAGTAGATAAAGAGAAATGAGACAAGAACTAATTTGTTTCCATACAAGAGCTTGGAAACTTCAAAGAAATGCCATATTTCTTTAGGTTTGCTTTGATAAGAATCTCTCTTTTCTTATCCTTACAGCTTCTCTCTTTCACCTCCATATATATATACACACACAGTGGTCTAATAATTATTAGAAGTGAGAGATGGAGGATTATTTGACACCTGGGTTTAGGTTTTACCCTACTGAGGAAGAATTGGTTTCTTTCTATTTGCATAACAAGCTTGAAGATGGAAGAGATGATTTGAAACAAGTGATGGATCAAATCATACCCGTTTTGGATATTTATGACTTCAATCCTTGGAATCTTCCACGTAAATTCTTTTTATATGTATCTGATCTCTATGTGTTCTTCATTTTTTCTAGCTAATTTATTTGATTTCTTTCTTCTCTTTCATTATCCTTCGGAAGATGTTGTAGGGATGTTATATGAAAATTGATATCGAAAAAAAAAGAGATAACAATGAAACTTTAGAAGCGTAGCATCGAAACTTTCTTAGGTTTGACCTCAAACAATCCAATCATCCAATACCCATATTTAATATTAGAGTTTTCGTCAGACCTAAAAGTTTTAGTGATTTTATTTTTCATTCCATTTTTAATTAACACCCTTTATCGCATGTTCAAATATTAGTTATTTCGTGAGATCTAATAATTAATTGATTTGAGTTACGTTTAAAATAATTTTTTGCTCTAATACTATGTTAAATTATCGTGTTTGGCAGGGTTTGCTGGAGAGGTGTGTGGGAGAGACGAAGAGCAATGGTTTTTCTTCGTACCAATGCACGAGAGTGAAGCGAGAGGAGGGAGAGCAAAGAGATTGACAATCACTGGGTATTGGAAAGCTACTGGTTCTCCAAGCCAGGTTTATTCCTCAAACCATAGAAGCATTGGAGTTAAAAGAACTATGGTTTTCTACAATGGAAGAGCTCCCACAGGAACAAAGACTCAATGGAAGATGAATGAATATAAAGCCATTCATGTCGCAGCTGACCCGTCTTCTTCTTCCTCGGCCACCGCTGTTTTTCAAGTATGAGACGTCTGATAATCGATTGATAATGCTTTTGTTTTTAGTTCATTTTTATAAAACTTTCTTTTTAGTTGAATTCCTTTGTTTGGTTTTCTACTTTTTTAAGAAAAATAATTTTTTAAATCCTAATTAAGTTTGAAGAACAGAAGAATGTATCTTTCAAAATGAGTTTGTAGGGTATGTACTATGTTTAAAATGGGCCTAATATTGTCTTAGATCTAAATTTTCATAATATAATTACTCTTAAATAATTAAACTCAGAGTTAAAAGATTGTGGTACTATGTTATGCATCTCGTTACCATATTATTAATTTAGTAACTAATAATATGTTAATGTTATATTAAATCTATCATTAAATTTTAAACTCAAGTCCATTAGGGATTCATTGTTAGATTATATAATTCTTAGACTTTGGTATAATATACAAATGTCACTCTGCCAAAGCGAGTATAGCTCACCGATAATTGATATATATCTCCAACCAAGAAGGTGTGAGTTCGATCCCCACCCCACATGTTGTATTTAAAAAAATGTTATTTTGAATAAAAGTAAAGAGTACATCTTCATTAATTATGGATATGATGTTATTCATTTAACTTAATTAGTTGGGTATTACTACTTTATTTTGGTTTTGCAGTTGAGGCAAGAATTCAGTTTATGCAGAATCTACAAGAGATCCAAAACTTTGCGGTCATTTGATCGACGACCGCAGGCACAAGGGGTAGAGACGATGGCTCGATCTATCGCTTCGAATGTACAAGTAGCAATGACCAAGTCACTGTGCTTCACCAATCAGCCTAACCCAACCACCGGGGCCGACCTGTTAACTGCAGTGATTAGCTCACCGAACAACTCTTCATCGGGTGATCAGCGTGACGAGTCGTCTCGAACAACTGCAGAAATTAGTAACCAGGTCGACGTAAGGATCATGGAGGCTGCTTATGAGCCGATGTGGGATTGGGAGCAGTTGAATTGGTTCTGAAAAAAATGTGATAACAGGGTACGTGTTTAAATGATCATATAGTAAATTAGCATATCAAGACTAATTAGTAGAGAGATCAATAGCGCCGAACGCTAAGGAAATCTACTCAATTTAATTTGAATTATCTTTTTAATTGATATTGTAAGGTTCTAAGTTATTGCCACTGCGTCAATTATTTTAATTATCTTCTAAACAAACCTTATTTACATATATAGATGGAATGAATATATTTTTAGTATATAATTAGGTTGTTTTTAGAATAAAAAGCTCTTGAAATTGAGAGTGTCAAGTACTATACTTTGCATTCCAATTATGACTTAGAGATATGTCGAAACTACATAGTTTTTGCTTCATCAGTTCTCGTTGTGCAAGACAATTTTGCTAATTTTGCAAAATTTATATTATTTCGAAATTTTTAGACTTATGGAACTTAATAATCAAATAGGCTACATTAAAATTCAATATATATATTAAATAAAGCTAATTTAGTTTATGTTTTTTTTTGTATAAAGTTATTTAACACTTTTCTAATGCTCATATATATATATATATATATATATATTAAATAAAGCTAATTTAGTTTATGTTTTTTTTTTTTTTGTATAAAGTTATTTAACACTTTTCTAATGCTCTTAATGCTAAAACATGATTTAGAGATAATTACACATTTTCGGAAAGTTTCTAAATTTCTCTTAAATGTCTTCTTTTGACCTTTTATAATTTAAAATGTTTTCTTTTGGCTTTTGATAATTCTCTAAAAATTGTGTTCCATTTAACTTTAAAAAAATATTTTATTTTAATACTCAAATTTTTAATTGAAAAAACTATTGTAATCTTTTTCATTAATCCTCTTGGATTCATTTTGAAAGAGCTCCCATAGATATTTATTTATCAAATAAAAAACAATATATATATATATATATATATATATTACGATTTGGATATAAAATAAAATAAACGTAAAGATTAACCAAAATATAATTTAAAACAAACGTATGGAACTATTTAAAGATTAAAAAAATGAGCCGTGACACCTATAATAATTTGGCTCAAAATAATAGCTAAAATTATTTATAAATATGCCATAATTTTAAGTGCAGCTCAAATAAAAACATTTTGAAAAGTGAAAAAAAACTATCAACATATTGCCTACATGATGTATATTATTAAATTTATTAATAATAAACATCCACCTTATAAAATTATCATATTTACAAAAAAAAAATCATATTCATTATTTTACATTTACAAATATAACAAAATTATTTGCGTTAAAAAATGTGAGGAAAATAGTGAGTGTGGAAGTGAATTTGATGGTGGCGTGTAGCACACGTGAGTTAACATCACATCGTTGGCATTTTGCGGTGGAAGTCTCAACGAATTTGTGTGAGTTGGAGACCCATTCCTTGACTCTCATTGACTCTTTTTCTTTCTTTTTTACCCAATTATTGGTCTTCACTTGACTAATTCTTTTTGTTTTTTTTTTTTCTAAAATAATTGTTTCCTTTTTAATAGTTCAAAAAGACCTCGAACAATATTTGACCCATGAACCAAATTTGAAGTTTGGAAAATTTAGATTCATGTAATTACTACTCGTGATTACTACTCGTGATGTTGGTAAATTTAGACGGCAAGAAACTATTCACATATTAAATAAATCAAATCAAACTTTTAGTCTCGTATTGAAACATTTGAAATGATAGAAATTTTTCTTTTAGAAGGAAGTCAATTAAGGAATTTTCTTTTGTTTTTGGTAATTTAACCTAAACTTAATCCAAAGGACAAACGTTAAAGACAAGACATTACATTGAACACAATTTTTGCTACACATAATGATAAAAAACAAATAAAAACAAAACTTGACTGAGGCAACATGACACCATGACCTTTTTATTTCCTCTACAAACTTGTAATTTCCACCATAATATTCGCGATATAATAAATTATAAAAAAAAATAGAACTTCTATTATCATACATTGGATTGATTTACAAATGAGAAACTCCAAACTTGGTTTCCCCGTGCAAGTTTCATCTCGTTATGCCAACGTTGGGCACCAACTGTTCAAGATAACACATCAAAATCTAAAACAGGAAGTTTTTATAATCATCATCGATGATCTGCATCACTGTAATTTCCTTCTGGAATTTGGGATCACCAATCATCTTCAAGGCTAACACGGTGGAAGCACAAGACAGTGCAAACAAAAATGAAGAAGGAAACGAACTCTATGAACATGGCTCCGGTATCGATCATATGAGCATGCCTCAGGATAATAGGAATTGCCAAACTCCCCACAGTTGAAGCTCCTGTCAAGAATTTAGCAGCACCTATCCATCTGGAAGTCGTGGCAACACGTTCACATGGCAACACGTTCACATGACAAAAAGAGAAGTAAGAGGAAGATTAGAACATGAAAGCCACGAAAATGCACTGCACTCGGACAAGTATCGGTATTATTGTACTTCGTATCTTTCCACATATTTGTAAGCACGATGACCTGGACTTCTAAATGAATTGCATACAAGAAATAGATGCTTGGCTCTACGACCAAAAACACTTTAGAATGAGTACTTAATTAATGCTTTTTCCATAAATACTGGTGGAAAAGGTGTTTCGCTTAAAAGTATTAACTCGATTTTGAGTTCATGACCATAGGGCAAATTTACAATATAAATATGATGAGACAGAGAAACAGACAATGAAAGTTTCAGTTAATTGTTTCATACAAAACTAGTACTTCAAGTGACAATATTGCTTTTGAAGAACATGGTTCATACGGTAAATTTTCAACAATTACACTTGCATTATGGTAATTCCACAATTCCAATGGTAACGAAGAGGTGTTTTTCTCATCATCAAAAGCGGGGGGTGGTACTAAGAGTTATAGAGATACTATTGATATACTTGCATGACACACTATCAGTAACAAGGACATTATATTTCTCAAAAATCATGACACAAGCATCCATTAAGTGGATGATTTATAATAAAGAAAACATCCGAAAAGTAGTCATTTTACCGGTGCTATCTCTATTATGTTACTTCATTTAATTAATGAAAACCTATTTTTATCTAAATACTTAATATAGAGATACTCACCCTCCACCATCTCGGCTAATCAGAAACTGTGTGGACCCTCCTCCAAAAAATAAACAAGGCATTGGAACAAGAACATACATCAAAGCTGCGGAGAAAACATAATTAGCAGTCATTGAAGGCTATCTATTAGCAAAATAAATTACCAAGCTTAATGCTCACCTGATAACATAGGCCACCAATTGTTGTATAGTGCACAAGCCTACCGTCAAGATAACAAAAAACAGATGAAAAATAAATAATATACGGTTCACAAGTTTATCTCCTTTCTAGAATTTCTTTCCAAAGAGGCCATTCATAAATTTTAACAATTATACTGACCGTATCAAAAGAAATCCTCCATATAGAACCGTGGTAGCAATTAAAATTTTATTGAGAACAGGAAAAAAAAATCACTTCAAAAGCTCAAGCATTGAATTCCATAATCTTTACTGGGATCCTCCCAATAAAACGAGTCTTTAATTAGTGCCTACAGCCTATCAGGAAAGGTTTGTTACTTGTTCCCAAGATCAATTTTTGAGCTTTTAATCATAGCTGTTGTTGGCTTCTACGAGTATTTGATGTTTTCCATTTTTAATAGCTTTTGTTCCTTTTCATTAATCAATGAGAAGTTCATATCTTGTTAAAAAGATTAGGACTTTTAATATCTAAGCCTTTAAGACTGTACAATTAACTAATAATTTAATACCTTACATTTCTTTAAGGTACATTAATGATTACAAGTATCCAGAAAGTCTAGGATAATTATATGAGCAGAGGGTATTAATACTTTTTTTAATGTAGAATGAAACATCTTCCAGCAACTTCTTTGAACTGTGTGATGCAATTATAATCTTAAAGGGTAATGGCTGAACTCTCTAAGTCTAAGGTGATTCTTAGAATCGCAATCCCCAACCTCTTACAAATCAATCCTATAAGTTGCTATGCTTACAAACCAGAATTTTTTATCTCAAAATTTGTTCCTTGTCCTGCAGCAATTTTTGGCATCAAAGCACCATGTCCACAAGGTTGGGCAGGAGATCAGAAGGCAACATGTCATCACTCATCATCAAGTAGATACCCATGATCTTACTTTTCGCATCCAACCATACATGTAATGACAGGTAGATTAAAAAAACATAGTTCTACAACCTACCAATTTAAGAAGGCATATTATAAAATTCTTTCAGAATACCAGGAACAAGGTCATAAAACATGTATTAAATTTTAAAAATTGAGGTACTATATTAACAACATATATTCTTTCTCCTAATTTAATTTCTTTTTAAAAATTTATTTTGTCCTGAAATTGTAAAGCCTCAAATGATTTCAAGACAAGGCACTATGCCTTTCAGCTTCTTGTTAGTAGTTAGTTTTGACAGTTGCTGCAAGGATACAATTATTCTATCTTCATTTCATAAACTAATTATAAACTCAAAAACGCATGTGTACAAAATCTAGATTTTTCATTTGTGAACTGTGCCCAAATTCTGTCGGAAGAGTTCTAAAATTTAAAATAGAAATCAACATTATCCAAACCAATTCATCTTAAAAGGAAGCGGCAGAAATAGTATTATAATCGATGGTAAAGGTTCTATCGGGAAGATATTTGACTGTACTATAAGCCATACCAAAATCTGTAGCAAGATGCTAGATGAAAACATAAACGCAAGACCAGCTAACCTGCACAACAGGGGAAGGTTCTCATTTAGATTTTTTCATAAAGCTAGACGTCAGAATTCAGAACAATAGTCAGAGTACTTGATAAATTCAACTCACACTGCAGACATGAGATCCATCCGTGTTTGCATAAACCCCATGATAAGGCGCCACCCAACAAAGACCAAGAGCAATTGTTACAACATTGGTGAACATTAAATGGCAGATACATCTAAATTCCAAAACAGGCAACAAAAGGACGAATGGTATAAATGAAACTCCAAGGGTTGTAGTCTATAATATTGAGCAACAACCATAACCACAACAATTAACAAGTATACAAAATCTTGAAGCTAGTGGTAATTAACATTGCCACCCTCCTTCTTCGAAGGAGATTGATCATTCAAGACCTTTGGTCTCCATTTAGAGCCAATGAAGGAGTCGAAGGAGATTGATCATTCAAGATCATTCAAGTCAATACCTTTGAATCACTTCTTACAGACTTCATAATGATTTTGATCCAATTCATAATTTATTAGATATAATTAGATTTTCTCTTCATAGTCAAACTAAGGATTTGCAATCCCATGATAAAATAGGTTCTGGATCATAGGATACTTTTCAATCCAATAGGAAGTGTTGTTACATAGTATTTGTGGTTATTGCGCTTCTACTTAAATGGTTTCTTTTATATTTTTTTTAATAAGAAAAGGGTGACAAAGAGGATAAATCCGTATTTCCGTAGGACCCAAGAGACCAAAAGGAAGTAATAGATAGTTAGATACATCCTGACGTTCTTTTGTATTTTACACATGCCACTTCTCTAACCATCTCAAACAACAGTTTAGAACATCGATGAAAATTCAACAAAAATATGGGATCAATGAAAATTCTACAGAGACCACCATTTCCTATTTTAGGCATGATTTCCCCCATGACCACAATCAAATTTTAGCAAAAAAGATGTTTTTTACATGGAAAGAAATATGTAGATATCAAATAACCAACAATTTCCCAATAAATTGAAACTCAACAATTTCCCAATAAATTGAAACTCCCTTTCCTTAAATCCCTTATTTCGCAATAGCTACGATCAAATAAAATGTTAGTCAAAGAAGACCCATCGTTCGAAAAGCCACATGGTTACCCAGACAAACTCAAATTCTAAAGCACTTGGCCCCAAATCGACGAGAATATTAGATACACCAAGATTCAATACAGTAACAGGTTTATCTCGGAGATATGAATTATAATGGAGCTGCGATAAAAGAGGGCATCCCCAGTTTGGAAACTGTACCTTCCAATGTCATCGTCATTATAGCAAGCTAGAAGTTCCTTCAGCAGTGACGCGCGATTATTCTCGCTCCCAATCGCGACGGAGGAAGACGAGATTTGAGCCGATTCCAGACCAAAAGAGGAATTCTTTTGGCTGCGTATGAATATGGCACACTTGAAACTATGAGTTCGGTATCACTTTCGGAAAGTTTTTTAAGAAACCAATTAAAGTTTTTCTTTTTAAATTTTGACGATAAATTAAATTGATCATTACGAAACATTTAAAAACTAATTATTTATACTTTTTGCAAGTTTAAAATATAGTTTAGCTTTTTATTTTATTTTATTTGAGTTTTTAGAAGGAATAAGTTTAAGTTGTTAATAATTTTATCCACTGCCAACTTCGACCTAACTCATTGACTAAAGCATGTATTATCGATCAAAAATAGTATTTAGTATGACCTCGCCTCTAATGATCTTTGAGATCATTGATAAAATTTAAAGTTCATCGGTCATCCTTGACACCAAACTTTCAAATGATCAATGAATCAACCTCAATCCATAACAAACAAGGATGAACTTCATGCATCATTTGGATGTCTTCCATCAGTATCATTATTTATTGTGAGCTCTACGGGACGTGTGATAGTTGTAAAGGATTTTGCCACCGACATTGTATCGATGACGACGTGGAGTGAATCTCTAATGATTGTTCGTAAACCCAAATTTCCATACATTATATTTTAAGTTTAAAATATCGTGAGTGGGGTGAGTGCGGGGGTTGCCAATATTGAGATGCAACAGTAACATTGATATTTGGTAAGGAAATTCATTGATTCAAATGGTGTGCTATAGTGTCGTCAATCTATTCGTTAGTATTAATAGCTCATTTTACAGACTGACCAAACAAATATACATTCCAACGACTTCATATTGTTGACGCGATCAAAATTATAAGATTTAAATTAGTGGGTTCAAAACTCGAACATACCTAAAAATAAAGATTGAATTTATAAAATATTTCATTAGAAAGTATGGATACTCGATCCTAGGAAGTTCGTAATTTTTTTTATTTCCTTTACATACCCATCAATAGATAGTTACTTAACTACTTGTGTAAACTTTTTTTTACCTTTTTTTTTTACTGAACGACGAATTAGAAAATTGTATTGCTTAATTATCATGATTAATTGATTAAACTAACTCAATCATAATCATAAATGACATGCGTTGATGTTAAAATCCGGTTCGTTAATTTGTTTGATGAGATGATCGTCAAATATGGTTCTTCGACAATAATGGACCTCGGCTCCAGTAAGATGCCCTGCCAAATATATTTTGACGCTCAAGTTAGAGAGTGAAGTAATTTTTCGCTGCACATTATGTTGCTATTATGACGTCGTGGGCTTACTGATACATCTCGTGCCAAGTGCGCACCGTCTCCCTATATTGGTCGACTGCTTATGCGGGGTCAATCCCCGACTGTCGGGCAATTCACCCACGTATGCGCTTCATTTCTCGTCACGTTTAAGTTTAAATTAGCCAATTATAACGTTAAAAAAAAAAGGCATAAAATGCATATTTAAAAACATTACAAGGACCCAGTTGAAAAATACTAAAAGAAAAGGAAAAAAGAAAAGAGATTTAAAAACTTATTTGAAAACTTACAATAGGATGATTTGACGAGGAAGTGGGGGGTGGGCGTGATTTGCAAAAATTATCGCCCAACGAAAACGCAGCCACAGGGCAGAGCTAATGGCGACATCCAATTCCCTAATTTCCCTAATTTGTTGGATGTTCATGTTATGTTATTGAGAGGTTTCTAAAGTTTGCAATTAACCGACGGACTTTGGGGCCTCCTCTTTGGGGTTTTTGGGACATATCGAATCATCAGTCGCCTTTCGGAGAGAGAGAGGAGCAGAGCTGAGAGCAGAGCAGAGGCCCCGCTACTTCTCGGCTGGCTCCCACGCCATTTCCATCATCAACCAGCTCTCTCTCTCTCTCTTCCGGTCTCCTCGCTTCTCCATTTTTTTTTCTGGTTCTCTTACAGGGAGTGGACTCTACCAGCTCCGGCTGTCAGTGAATTAGTTTATCATTCCTCGTTCTTTGCTGTCAATGTTCTTAGCTTACTCGGAGGAGGGGGTACAACTTTTCGTGTAAGCTTGAACTCTTTCTTCACGCCTTATTGTTTTTATTATTTATTGATCGACCCATCTTTTATTTTTTGGGTTTATTTTTTGTATATTGCTTTACTGTTTATTTGATTGGTTTCTGGGTTTAAGGATTTCGGGTTTAAATCCGGTTTTGTAATGGGTTTTGTTGCTTAGTTACTGGGGGGTTGTAGAGATTTTTTTTTTTTTGATAAAATAATTGGAATCAAGTACTAGGGTTATAACTGCGTTTCTGGGACAGGTTAGGCTGAAGAAGCTTCTGATTTCGTGCAGTGGCTTCTACCTTCGAGCCATATTTGGGTCGGTTGCAAGGTTATTTTGGGAGGCATCAATGATGGAGTTTGTTGGTCAATAGTGATTGTTGATACTGAATTCTGAGGTTGCTGCTAGGCATAAATGGCGTGGACAGAAAAAGATGATGGCAGTGGAAGGGAGAGAATCCCTGTGAGAGACAATGGTTTCTTGCAAGGATCACTGTCTTCTTCCAAAATGAGTTCATCCCCGGTGGGTATCGATTCGGCCGAGAAGAAGGTCGAAGGCAAGGATGCTCTCTTCTTTGCCAACATTCTTCGATCAAGAAACAAATTTGCAGATGCTCTTGTTCTCTATGAGAAAGTCTTAGAGAAAGATGGTGAAAATGTGGAAGCTCATATTGGCAAAGGAATATGTCTACAGATGCAGAACTTGGGCAGGCCCGCTTTTGAAAGTTTTTCAGAAGTCATCAGGTTGGATCCGCAGAATGCATGCGCCCTCACGCATTGTGGTGTTCTATACAAGGACGAAGGTCGTCTTGTGGAGGCTGCTGAGGTATACTATGAAACTTAACATGTTTCCAAGAAAGTTTCTTATCTAAGGAAAAAAAAAACTTAACATCTTTCAGATACAAAACTTCGCACCCCGAGGCATAGAATGTAGTTCATTTGAAGCTTATTATTGTGGCGCCTGATTTCTCATGAGTCCATTATTACTTGGTGTTAGTTAGAAGGGTTGTGATATATGCAAAACAATACGTTGATAACTGCTGGGGGCTAGTAATCTATACTTGAATGGTCAATTCTCTCCTTCCTGGCTCTATAGACAGAAAATTACCACATGTTTTCATGTATACTTGACAATTCTTTTGTAGTTATTGATATTGTGATAGACACATTTGGAGCCTGGATTGGTTTTTGGTGTGTTCTTTTATCAATCAAAAAAGGTTACTTGCATGTTAATCTTGTCTTGATTTGAGTATGTTATATGGTGCTTAGTAGTTAGTAGTACTTAGATTGATTGCAACTTTTTGTTTGTTCAGTTCCTTTACAATTGTCTGCCCGTCCTATTTTTGTTGCTAAAAAATGCCAGTCTTTTTGTTTATATGTATTAGTGATATGTGATAGTGATGACTTTGAAGAGAAATAAGAATAGAATGTGGATTAGCCTAGAACCACCAGTTTAGAGAATTGAAAATTCTGAGGGGATGGTCTAATCAATATTAGACCATTCAACTTACAATGTGAGCTGGTTATAGCATAGCCTTTGTTGAGCTAGAATAAAGATTGGTGTTCATGGAGCCATACTTGTTGGGGGTTTGAAAGTTTGCTTTCACTTATGCGTTGTGGACTTGGTTTATAACCAGAACTTGTTTCTTCTGCATGTATAAAGTCATGGCTCTCGCCTTTTGGATATTCTATTGCTATAAAAAATAGGTGCCCAATGTTGCAACAATAATGGTCCCATATTATTTGCTTCATTCTTCATCCGAATTGTAATGTGGCTTTAATGCTGTTTAAGGAGCCCTTTCAAATCATTGTCAGAATGACACTATTCTTGTGGCCTTTGATATTGATGGTAGTTGGGTGGTGGCTGTGGTCTTTTCATCTTGTTCTCTAATTTCAGCGTGTGTTTTTTTCATGGTATTAGAAGTTTTCTCTTTTATTTTTCTTTATGCTAGATTTAGATGAATTGCAAGAATCACTGAGAGTGTACCTTTTTTTTTAAAAAAAATAAAGAAATGGATATATTGGTAAGAGAAGAAGGGTAACTCAAGGATTTCTCCAAGGAGCCAACTGCCTGCAGACTTTGTTCACCTTTGGCTCCAATAATAGGCCTGTCTAGGTTTGTGTGAAGGGGTAACCCAAGGTGCCGTGAGGAAAGATAAGAAATAGAGAAATTATCATCCCTAGCCCAATTAGTGAGTTTTTAATTGGGGTGACCTGCAGATAAATACTTACTTTTTATGTTTCCTTCCATGTTATTCTTTTTCACTTCTAATATTTCTGAAAATTTTCCATTTCAGAATTGTTATTATTATTAATTTTCATTTTTCGTGCACATTAACTGTCCATGCATAAATTATTTGTAGTTTTTGTTCATATCTTATTCGTCATAGAAAGTGGGTTAACAAAAAAGCTGATAAATGAATCATGCAATGTGAATTTTAAATGACTACTAAATTTCAAAAACTTTTGTACTTTGAGACATGACCTTTCTCAAACTATGCTTGCCGTCTATACGAGTGTACCATCATTGAATGAGCAGTTTATCCGGCTTAATTTTCCACATTGGATACACCAATATTTCTGATAAAAAATAAAAAATAAAAATTTCACACATTGGTAATTTCATATTTTATCTGGGGAAGGATTGTTAGGAGTAGGTACAAGGGTGAATTATGGTTTTGAAATTATAATCAAGCTGGGAGACCTTTTGCATGCTCACCCAATCTACTCTAAATAAAAGTTATAGCTTTATCTGTTGCTGGTCTTTATAGTTTACACTTTTGTCCTAACTGTTCGCTTATGTTTTATGTTAATTATGTTTTTATTTTGCAACATTTTTATGTTAATTATATTGCCAATACCTGATCAATATAATTTGGACAGTCATATCATAAGGCTTTGAGAGCAGACTCTTCTTACAGACCAGCTGCTGAATGCCTAGCAGTTGTTTTGACAGACCTTGGAACCAGCTTAAAGCTTGCTGGTAACACTCAAGAGGGAATTCAGAAGTATTATGAAGCTCTCAAAATAGACCCACACTATGCTGTAATCTTAGAACTCTTCTTATTCTTACTTCTGTCCATCTGCTCTTTAAATTGTACCCTGCATTAAACTATGTACTTATACTTTACCTCCTATGCTACTGCAGCCTGCATATTATAATCTTGGTGTTGTATATTCTGAGATGATGCAATATGACACAGCCCTTAATTGCTACGAGAAGGCTGCATTTGAGAGACCCATGTATGCTGAAGCATATTGCAACATGGGTGTAATATATAAAAACCGTGGCGACCTAGAGTCAGCTATTGCCTGTTATGAGAGGTAGTCTTAACTTTCAGTTGTTTGATGCTACCACTGATTTCCGTCTGTTGTTGTTTGCTTTTTTTTTTTTTCCTTCTCAGATCTCAGGTAGTTTTTCCATTCAATGTGTTTTTGGATGCTAATTGTATATTTGATTGGTTGCTCTTGGTGTCAGGTGTCTAGCTGTTTCACCAAATTTTGAGATTGCAAAGAATAATATGGCAATTGCCTTGACAGATTTAGGAACAAAGGTTGCTGACTTCTCATTTCAATTTTTAGAAATTGTATTGAATATTATATAATTTCCTTCTTTTGCTAGTTTTGGTACTGGACTTTACTTCTATTCATCATTTTGGTTTTATTTGTTTAATTGTTAGTTGGCTGGATATAGAATCTAGAATTTTACTAAAATTTTATGTGTAGAGGTGTTTCACTTTTTACTTTGGATAGCCTGCGTGAAGGCTTTGATTAAAATAAAAGATAGGTGAATAGTATTATATGAAACTTGTTGATGGAGAGTTCTCACTAGGACGTTGTGAGGACATTCGAACTTTTCTTCCATGTGTTTTAGTCATAGAGACATAAAGTTATTAGTATGTAATCTAACGATGCAGTAGATGAACTTGTATGGGCTCTTCTGGACAGTAAGTTGTTCCACTTTTATTAGATCTTATCAAAGTTATCATCTAACTTCAAATTTGCGAGTACCAAGGAAAAAGGAAGTTCGTCTTTTGCCTCTTCTTTCTCTATATTAGTAGTTAGAATACTAGTCCCTAGAACTACCATTTTCTGTAGAGTTGTTCTTCCTTTTTTTTTTTTAATTTTTAAATTTAAAATAAAAAATTAAATTTATGAATTTTTAATTTGTTTCAGGTTAAACTGGAAGGAGATATAAGCCAGGGTGTAGCATATTACAAGAGAGCTCTGTTTTACAATTGGCACTATGCTGATGCTATGTATAATCTGGGGGTTGCATATGGTGAAATGCTCAAGTTTGACATGGTTAGTTTTTTGTGGAGGATAACTTCCTTTTTTCCCCCTCCCCATAAGTGTTTCTTTTGAATACAGATATGCATACTTCCTTGAACCATTATCTCTCTCCCTTCCACTCACCTACGTGTTCTTAATTATTTGTGTTGGTTGAAAATCTTGTAAATTTGTTAGATCTTTGGCTCTGCAGGCTATTGTTTTCTATGAGCTAGCTTTCCATTTCAACCCTCATTGCGCTGAGGCATGTAATAATTTAGGGGTTATATATAAAGATCAGGACAACCTGGACAAAGCTGTAGAATGTTATCAAGTATGCTTTACTACTTTCCCTAGTTATCCACCTGATTTCTTCCTTCTCCTTTATGGGGTGTTTTTTTTTTTAAAAATAATTTTGACACCCTGTATTTCTCTATCATTTTTATGTTTCCATTTTTCAGCTTGCCTTATCTATAAAACCCAACTTTTCTCAGTCCTTGAACAATCTTGGTGTTGTCTACACGGTACAGGTGCTTGTACTAACTCACGTCTGATAGTAGAATCTTAAGTGAACTTTTTGTGAGGATGCTAAACTCATATAATTATTATCAGGGGAAAATGGATGCTGCAGCAAGCATGATTGAAAAAGCTATTCTTGCAAATCCAACTTATGCAGAAGCTTATAATAACTTAGGTCCCTTCTGAACTGTTTCTCTTGAATGCATGCGTGTTAAATGTGCAGCTGTGTCACATCAATGTGTTGAGAATTTTTCATCTTCATTTATTTCAATGATGTCTAGTACTTTGCTTTATTGGGATTATGATATTTTTAATCATCAATTAGGTTTTTATGTGGGACCTTATGAATTCTTATGGTTATATTATTCATTATGCACATGTTTATCAGTTAAATATTCTATTTTATATTGGTAGTTTTTTCTTTCAAAATATTTACTGGAATTTGGAAAGCATCATAATCTTGAAAATATATTATTTTATGTCACCAATAATGTTAAACATTTCATAAAGCTCTCAATTTGGCAAAATATTTTGTATTATACGTAAAGTGAATGAGGAAGACACGTGTTTCACCAAATTTCAGTCACCTCAACACCTTTGTTTGGCACCTACCTTGGTTTACTGTTTAGTTCTATATCAAACTTTGTTTAAGTTTACTGTTTAGTTCTATATCAAACTCTGTTTAACTAATTAGTATGATTTTATAGTGTAAAAAAAGATATTTATTAAATTTAAGGAAATAAAGGCAATGAATGAATGAATATAGAGAAGCTGGTATAAAAATTTAAATGGTTTGTAATAATTGAATATGAAAACAGAAATGGAAAAAGTTCCTTGATAAGGTTTAGATAGACTATTTATTTCCTTTCAAAGGATGCATTAATACTAAAGACATAACATAATCAATGTACTTTTTTACTCTATATTGTCTCTAGGAGGTCTAATTTTTTGTCTTTATTTCTTTCTCTAAAATATTTTCGAGTCAAATTGTTTATGAATAAGAATAGTAGAAGACATTTTTTTCCTGGTAGGCTTCATTGTTTCCTTGTACCATTTTTTTCCCTAAAATTTTAAAAAGATTTATATAGAAAATGACCATTTTATTGCTTGAGGTGCAGGAGTTTTGCATAGGGATGCTGGGAATATTTCCATGGCAGTTGACGCTTACGAGCGCTGCCTAAAAATAGACCCCGACTCTCGAAATGCTGGCCAGGTATCTCTTTTTTCATTATTTAATTGAATATATAATGAGCTATTTATTATTATTTTTTTTCCTCTTATAAAAAAGCCTTTTATATATAACTAGAAAAGAAATTTGAACTGGCTGATGACATGAGACAGATTTTGTTGTCTTGCCTGTCTTTTGTTTTCTTGTAATTTCTTTTTCAATAACCTACTGCTGGGGCTCGCTTTTTGTAATTTTTCTTACTAGTCGTCCTGTTGGTTTGGCTGTGTTCTATTTTGTCTGACCTCCTTATATTCTTTAATTGTCAAAATGAAAGTTTGATTTTTTTATTAAAAAAAAGGTCTTGCTTTCTTTTTATCTATTGTTTACATCTTCTGGTGTAAATCTCTATTTACTTGATTGCATATCACAATCACTCATGGCTAGCCTCTTTTATTGGTCTTTTGCGGCTCTCTTGTTTCTTCATTTGCCTTAATGACGGTTGGATCTTCATTAAAAAAGCACCTTCTTTAGTCAGGGCCAAGTTTGCTAAGATTATGCAAGATTTCTTATGGGAGGGTATGGACCATGGTGGTGGGTCTCATTTAGTTAGGGGGAAGAGCGTGGTTGGATATTTCGAGGATTGGAAATTTA